AATGTGTACTGTGTAGGTAGGTAGCAACTGTTAAATAGTAAATTATTTAATTTGGCATTTGCCTTAATTTAGCTTAATAGGCCTATTTGGTACCTATGTGTACAAAAAAGTGTTTTTTTTTTCTCTGATATTAATGAAAATTATACAGCTAGCCTAAAAATGAATGATAAAAGTTGATAAATTAGGTATTAAGTAAATTATGAATAAATGATGAATAAATTTCAAATAAATGCTAAATGAATGATGCAGGTGGAGTGTGGAGATACCTAGGCATGGAATATAGCTATCTACTTGGCAAGGCCAAGCCGCGACTGAATTTTTTGAGCCGTGGTTTTATGGATTTGCCAGCCGTGATTCCATTTCTTCGTGGGCGTGATGCTGTGAATTCCATATCTCGGCCATGAAAAGCCATTTACGAGGCGCGAATTGATTTACAAAGTCCATGCATGTGTTACCCCAAATCTCTAATTTTATCCTAAAACAGCAAATAGTCAAACAGCAACAATAACATTTGTCTTTACAGTTTACTGTAAGCTGAACTTGTGTTAATGCTGTCTGACGTAGCCGCAACTATGCGCGATCTTCAAGAAAATGTTTAGGTTGACTTGTTTACATTAAGATGATTACGTTTTGCAGGATATTTTGGCAGGAACGGTAAAGCAATAATTATAATGTGGATTGCAGAAGGGGAAAATTGTATGAAATGACAGGTTTACAAAGTGCAAACTGCGATTTTTTTCAATCACACAAAAATTTGTGACATTCGAGCCACGAGATTTCACACCTACTGAAATTATATAATTTTAGAGCCGTGATATTATAAAAAATAGGACTTTTCCAGCCCTGGGAGGAGGTGGGTTCATTGATGCATTCATTATATCATATGATAGATATTAGATACTGTCTAAATGATAGGAAACTGATGGAAAATGATATGATAATTATGTGAAAATTATGTCAAAATGATAGGCTAATGATAGGCAAATTATAGGTAAATGATATGCAAATGAGTAGGCAAAATGAGAGACAAAATGATAGGCAAATGATTGGCTAATGAAAGGCAAATGATAGGTAAGTTAAAGGTAAATGATACATAAATGAGCAGATAAGTATTAGGTACCACCCACTGTGCAGAGAGTGAACGAAGATTTAAAGACCTACGGCGACGCATTATCGGCAAAATTTCCGCCTTCAGAAGATCTTGCCGACACATTTAAACTGCTTCAAGTTTTCTTTGCTTAACCGCCCGGCCTCCTCGCTGATTGTGACCAGAAACTGGCGCTCAGAGCTGGGCTCGAACCCGCGCCTCTCTGCGCCAATCCTGGTACTCTGAACTGTAACCGATAACAGTTCCAGCGGCTTCAGGCAGCTGGACCAAGATGATTGTATTTTCCCAGGCCAAGCTAATATGTTCTCTAAAAGTTCCTCATCATTCATCATTTCATTATCATTTTCATCATTTTTCATCAGAGGATTTAAGATCACCGAGATATTAGCAGTGAATTGGAGGTTTGAAACCCGCAGTGAGTTTAGAAAAATTTATAATATAGTGAAGAATACGTCGCAAAAAATACGGTTGCAAGGTGATCCACGCAGTTTAGTTGACTGGGCTGATAAGTGGCTGCTGCGTTTTAACGCTGACAAATGTAAAATAATTCACCCTGGCAAGAATAATGAACAGCAAGATTACAATATGAGAAGACATGGTTGCAACGACAGAGTGATGATGTCGAAGTCGACAATGTAAAAAGATTTAGGAGTTGATATGGACAATGAGTTTAAATTTTTTGAGCATATTGAAGCTCAAGTTAATAAAGCCAATAAACGACTTGGACTAATCCGACGCTCTTACGAGTTCCAAGATGCAGAAGCGATGAAGCAGTTGTTTGTTGCTGTCGTGCGCCCGAACCTGGAGTTTGGAAACGTTGTGTGGTCACCAAACCTAGAAACTGACAAAAATTTAGTCGAGAGTGTTCTAAGACGTGCAACAAGGATAATTCCGGGATTAAAAGGCAAATCTTATGAAGAAAGATTAAAGATTATGAAGCTTCCAAGCCTCAGTTATCGACGTCTGCGTGGTGACCTCATTGAAGTATACTGGTATACACTTATGGCTTATACAAGGTCCCAGAAGGATTACTAGAATTTGAAACAAGAACCAACACCAGGGGCCACGGCTATAAACTAAAAACACTGCGTTGTAACACATCCATGCGACAACATTTCTCCTCGCTTCGAGTCACCGATATGTGGAACAGACTCCCTGATAGCATCGTTGACGCTCCGAGTATGAACGTCTTCAAAAAAACAGACTAGACGAAGCTATGCAGGAGCATATGTTCAGTCATGAAATACCTAGCACCTTATATACGGACCTGGCAAAAAGTCCAGCAGCTATCTCAAACAATCGTTAGTTATTGTTAAGAAAGGTTCATAAGGCCGGATCCCTTGTGGAATCAATTCACGAAAAGTACAAGAATCGGCAACAGGCAATGGACCTATTTCTTCAGTGCCGACACTTCTATTCTATACCAGCGGCAGGGCTGCGTCAAGAGAGTAGTAAAATATCTCTTTACAAATAGTAAAGAAATTACTACATACATTGAAAACTGATGACCTGATCATACTGAGACCTATAATAAAGAATGAAATGATAGGAGTAACTGGCGTTATTCAATTTTTATAGATTACTTGATGAAACATAATCTCAGCACCCGAGCCTCAACCAAACACGTGCCGATCATTAGTGTTGCCACTGCCTTCTTCAGGACAAATTTCGCAAATGTGGCCTTTTTTGAAATTCATGGGCCTGACAGAATTTATTTGGCCTTGTGGGTTTTTCTTTATGAAAAATACAATTCTCGGCTTTTTTGTAATAATTTTGCCCGTCATTTATAATTCAGTTTTGCCCAAGACGAGTACACTCAAATTTCGACATTTAGCTGTGTCAACTTTCGGTTTAGTTGGCAACACTGGCGAGTGCCAGTGGGCAGGGTGGCCCTTCAGAGTACCAAGATTGGCGCTGGTTCGATCCCAGCTCTGTGCGCCAGTTTCTGGTCAGAATTGGCAAGGAGGCCGAGCGGTTAAGCACAGCAGAATTGTAGCAGTGAGTTGCGAGTTCGAAACCGCAATAAGCTGTGAATGTTCGGCGATGTTAAGAATCGGCGACAGGCCTACGGCCTACTAACGCTGAAACCGCTAAAATGCCGTCTAATCTGGGCAACACTTTGTTGAACCATGGGACTATATCAAGTTGCCGACTCGTATCAATAACCATAAATGGCAGAGCTGAGAGTGCGTATAATCGAGTATAGTTTTCACTTCTAAAGTGTAGTAAATTCAGTATGATTTTTTTAGGTTAGAGCGCTGTTTCTCGATACATTCAGCCTTCTGGTGTGAGTCAATACAAAACTTCGCTTTGAATAAATATAATAACTACTTTCCAAGTTATGATAGGCAATATTTTATTTCTATGCATTCAAAGGTTCTGATAAAATCATAGGATTGACTTTTAATATTTACCTTAGTCGTGCAAGGACCACATCATCTTTATACCGCAGAAATGAGTTTAAATTTATTTTCATTTACGCGTATAAATATTCTACCGTCATTACCAAAACCTTCGCCACATCACTTTCTATTACGTTAGCAAAACTGAGACAAAACTCTCTAACGCGATGGAACAGCTTTTTAGTTGTTAGGTGGCAATCGAATCCTAAACATCATAGTTCCGACCAGTATTATACGGTTTTATTTACGATCAGCGAGTAACATGCAATTAGCTGCAGGCAGGCTGGCGCCTGGCGGCTTATATGTAGCATTGACGGTAATTCAGCTCATACACTTGGTGAAATTGGTGTATTTTTTGCTGTCTGAAAGCCTTGAAAGTAAATGCATGCACTGAAATGGTTAGAACTACCTTAAATTCAAAATTTTCTTATTAATTTCAAATAGGGCCTTTTTTGGCTTTTTTGTGAGCTTAATTGGCCTTTTTCTCCTGGCTCCATCTGGCAACACCGGTTCCGAACGCCACACCCAGCAGTTGCCAGATGTTCTCAGAAACATCTGTGTGTGTGTGGTTCCAGAAGTCTGCCAATGACTGTAATATCGTAGTATTTGTAGAAATCATTAATGAATTTGCACAGGATAAATTATTATTACGATTATACTAATTTGCTGAATTTTTCCGCGTCATTGATACGAGGTGAATTCTTGCTGAAGTATTTAAATAATTACAGTGACATACACGGTTTAAGACGTCCAACCCTTTCGATTTAACGTTTAGCTAAATGGCTAAAATAATCAATATTCATTTACTAATAAAGATTGCATAAGCTTTGAGTTTAAGATAGAAGTGCAGTAAAAGTGTTTCAGAGGAACGAGTCAAGTTTTTTCATTCGTTTTCACGAAAAGATAGCTGATTGTGATAGCATGATTTGCTTCGTTCGTTCGTTCTGTGTTTAACTTCCGACGAGTGTGGTTAACCGGATCGACACTTCTCCGAACTGGCCAGCGGACTCGAACGCAAAATCTAACCTTACGCTCAACCGAATTAGACATAAGTCCATGAGTGGTTTAGTTGAGCGTAAAGTTAGATTTTACGTTTGAGCTCTAGGGCTAATTGGGAGAAGTGTCGATTTGGTGTGAGGTTTTTGTTCTCAACGACGAACGTCGTTGTCGTGAATCGNTCACTGAGGCAGGCTGGAGTTCAAGGAGCTGGACTACTGAGGCAGGCTGGAGCTCTTGGAGCCGGACTACCGAGGCAGGCTGGAGCGCCTGGGGCCGGATCATTGAGGCGGCAGGCTAGAGTTGAAGGAGCTGAACTACCGAGGCAGGCTGGAGAGCCTGGAGCCGGATCACTGAGGCAGGCTAGAGCGCGAAAAGCTGAACTAGCTGCACTATTTAGGCAGGCTGGAGCGCCTGGAGCTGGACTACTGGAGGAGGCTGGAGCTCCTGGAGCCGGACTACCGAGGCAGGCTGGAGCGCTTGGGGCTGGATCAATGAGGCAGGCTGGAGTTCAAGGAGCTGGACTATTGAGGCAGGCTGGAGCGCCTGGAGCTGGACTACTGGAGGAGGCTGGAGCGCCTAGAGCCGAACTGCTGGGGCAAGTGGAATACGAATGGTACTTCAAAGAGGATGACGGATCGTGGTTAAAGTTTGGCTCCAGAGGTAATCCCAACATCATAGGTACTCTGGAAAGACAATATCTGTCTAACCCATCAACCAACTTCAAATTCACTATCGGAAGCCAGTCGTACGTAATCAATTTCACCAACATTACTCAAACCAACACATCGACTGGCAAAGTACGAGAAGTACGTAGGCTTAAGCAGCACGCATCCACGACAGGTGGGGCGCTTGGTTCATCATCTACGTCAGCATCAACTAAGTTGTTCACTGAAATCCCCTTTGGACAAACGAGTTACGCGACACCCCTTGAAGCAAACCATGCTGACTACACCTATGTTCTGTACCTGCTGAGGTCCACAAATTGTCAACCCCGTAACATCTTCAAAGTGAACAACCCCTACCTCAAAGCTGCGTTTTATATCAAGAAGGCTCAACTTCAGAGTCAATATCCAGGTGTTCCGTACAGGGAAGAGTGCCTCTTTCACGGAACGAAAACTGCCAACGTCAAAGCCATCCTGGAAGAAAACATTGACTGGAGACTTCATGGATCCAACGTAGGTCAAGTGCATGGAAGAGGAGCGTATTTCTCTAACAAGTACGTATAATTGCACGTAGTAGCCATATTTCACTACATTAATTAAAGTTAGTGTAGTTAGGCAGAAGTTCTTCATTCATGCAGTTTTGATTGAAGACCAGAGCATAATTTTTATTAGCAATTTTCTTATTGTTTTTTCATTAAGCCGAACAAAATTTCTTGCTGGTGCTTGGAGATTAAAAAGCAGGTTACCCAAGGACATTTTACTGGAATACTAATTGAAGCATGAACCATCGCTTAATACGATCGCCCAATCGTATTGTAACCACCTTGTTTCTTCAGGTCGCTGAATAGTGTCCATTCACGTGACATAATTTCCACGCCCGGACGTTGCGTACTTGATAATACCTTAATTCAATTTACTGGTAATCATTAAGGATTTATATTAGTATGACTAGTAAAGTGAAAGTGAATTTTTCACTTATTTTTAACAGTGCACAATTATCTCGCCGCTACGGGCAAGTCATCTTCATCTGCAAGGTGCTCGTGGGTCTCACCGCCCCCGGCAACCGCAAGACCGTCAAGCCTCCAAAAGACGGGTACGCCCCTCCTACGTAGCGGGGGAGAGGAAGCGGGTTACCCCTTCTAGTGTTTATTTAGATGCTCTCAGATGCTCTCAGATTCTGTTGCACGTCAAGTTTGTGGTGATGACATCTTGCGTATAATTGATGTATGTTCAGTGCATGGCAAAAAGATCATGAAATAGGCATACCTGACCTTACGGTCTCCTCTCGGGGTTTCGCCAAGTCAAATACACTGTACCATCAAAATGGTTTTGTAGTGTCCGCTAATTATGCTGACAGAAATTCGTGAAATTTTGTTTATGGAATATCCCTGCTTAAATGCGAGTGAAGACGCCACGATCAATTTAAAAACATTTTTTTGTTGTCCCGGTTTTAAAAAATATTTATTTATACAGATCCAACCGCCCTATCGACACCACGGTCAATCACCAAGCCAACCCGACCATTTTTGTCAAGTATGATTCTCAGGAGTACTACCCTGAGTACTACGCGGTGTGTTGAGGTGCCTAACCCCACGCAAGAGTACCACATGGAGTGGTGCTCCACAAGACCACAGGAGTACCACATGGAGTGGTGCTCCACAAGACCACAGGAGTACCACATGGAGTGGTCCACAAGACCACAACTGACCACACATGGCTCCCATATGACCCACTCGAAGAGACTGGCGGCATGAAGTTTCTGCATGTTCAATTTATTACTCATAATTTCACGTGTGACTACTCAATAGTTTATAATAATGGATTTCCTAGTTCCTTTTTTTGCCTTTTTATTAGGTTCAATCAAAGCAACTTGTACGTGTTTTGTTCTGACAGGAAGGTTCAGGTCATAGCTATGGTGGCGAATAAAATGTATAACAATCGTTGTTAAACCAAATTAATTAAATTAAGTAATTATCCCAGATAATGGTTTGATTTCGTCACCATTGTTACCTCGCCTCTTAATGCATGGTTGGAACTTTAATGAGGAATTTTTAGAGCTTTAAAAAGGAATTATTTCAGTTTTGGAGAGTAGTTCTAGAAGCGACAACTGCTTCAGCAGCTCCAGGCAGCTCGACCAAGATGGTTGGTTCTGCAGCTGAACCAAGATGGTTGGTTCTGCAGCTGGACCAAGATGGTTGGTTCTGCAGCTGGACCAAGATGGTTGGTTTCGTGTGCCTTGTGGCAAGAAAGCATCTGCATACTTTGCACTAAAATGAACTTCCAAATCATTCGTAGTTAATAAAAATGTTTTGATGAGAAATAATAACAATGTTTTACTGTTGTTACTTATTGCTGTTAGCGTAGGAGCAAAATCTGCCCCAATGAAAATAAATGTTTTCAGTAGCCTTTATGTGTGAGGTGATGAGGGTGGACGCTCTGCGGCTGCTGGATGCGGTCCAGCGAACCTTCACATCCAGGATCAGTGGGATGAAGGAGCTGGACTACTGAGGCAGGCTGGAGCGCCTGGAGCTGGACTACTGGGGCAGGCTGGAGCAGATGGAGCTGGACTACTGAGGCAGGCTGGAGCGCCTGGAGCTGGACTACTGAGGCAGGCTGGAGCGCCTGGAGCTGGACTACTGGGGCAGGCTGGAGCGCCTGGAGCTGCACTACTGAGGCAGGCTGGAGCGCTTGGAGCTGGACTACTTGGGCAGGCTGGAGCGCCTGGAGCTGGACTACTGAGGCAGGCTGGAGCGTGTGGAGCTGGGCTACTGAGGCAGGCTGGAGCACCTGGAGCTGGACTACTGCGGCAGGCTGGAGCGCCTGGAGCTGGACTACTGGGGCAGGCTGGAGCGTGTGGAGCTGGACTACTGTGGCAGGCTGAAGCGCCTGGAGCTGGGCTACTGAGGCATGCTGGAGCGCCTGGAGTTGGACTACTGTGGCAGGCTGGAGCGTGTGGAGCTGGACTACTGAGGCAGGCTGGAGCGTGTGGAGCTGGGCTACTGAGGCAGGCTGGAGCGCCTGGAGTTGGACTACTGAGGCATGCTGGAGCGCCTGGAGTTGGACTACTGTGGCAGGCTGGAGCGTGTGGAGCTGGGCTACTGAGGCAGGCTGGAGCGCCTGGAGTTGGACTACTGTGGCATGCTGGAGCGTGTGGAGCTGGACTACTGGGGCAGGCTGGAGCGCCTGGAGCTGGACTACTGGGGCAGGCTGGAGCGCNATGTTTGAAGTGACGTGTGATGTTTGAAGTGACGTGTGATGTTTGAAGTGACGTGTGATGTTTGAAGTGACGTGTGATGTTTGAAGTGACGTGTGATGTTTGAAGTGACGTGTGATGTTTGAAGTGACGTGTGATGTTTGAAGTGACGTGTGATGTTTGAAGTGACGTGTGATGTTTGAAGTGACGTGTGATGTTTGAAGTGACGTGTGATGTTTGAAGTGACGTGTGATGTTTGAAGTGACGTGTGATGTTTGAAGTGACGTGTGATGTTTGAAGTGACGTGTGATGTTTGAAGTGACGTGTGATGTTTGAAGTGACGTGTGATGTTTGAAGTGACGTGTGATGTTTGAAGTGACGTGTGATGTTTGAAGTGACGTGTGATGTTTGAAGTGACGTGTGATGTTTGAAGTGACGTGTGATGTTTGAAGTGACGTGTGATGTTTGAAGTGACGTGTGATGTTTGAAGTGACGTGTGATGTTTGAAGTGACGTGTGATGTTTGAAGTGACGTGTGATGTTTGAAGTGACGTGTGATGTTTGAAGTGACGTGTGATGTTTGAAGTGACGTGTGATGTTTGAAGTGACGTGTGATGTTTGAAGTGACGTGTGATGTTTGAAGTGACGTGTGATGTTTGAAGTGACGTGTGATGTTTGAAGTGACGTGTGATGTTTGAAGTGACGTGTGATGTTTGAAGTGACGTGTGATGTTTGAAGTGACGTGTGATGTTTGAAGTGACGTGTGATGTTTGAAGTGACGTGTGATGTTTGAAGTGACGTGTGATGTTTGAAGTGACGTGTGATGTTTGAAGTGACGTGTGATGTTTGAAGTGACGTGTGATGTTTGAAGTGACGTGTGATGTTTGAAGTGACGTGTGATGTTTGAAGTGACGTGTGATGTTTGAAGTGACGTGTGGTGTTATTAGTGCAATCACAACTCATGATTGCAAGTTTACTAAGAACTCGACAGATTCATCACTTTCATCGCAGATTCATGTCGCATTTAATACACATTCACCACACTATCACCTCACATTCATCACGCATTCACCACACTATCACCTCACATTCATCACGCATTCACCACACTATCACCTCACATTCATTACACATTCACCAGACACTCGCATCACATTCATTACACATTGACCATAATCTCGCATCACATTCATTACACATTGACCATAATCTCGCATCACATTCATTACACATTCACCATAATCTCACATCACATTCATCACACATTGACCACACCAGCGCAGCATGTATTACTACAAGCAGCAAGCCAGCAGCAGCAACAGCAGCAACAGCAGCAGCAACAGCAGCAGCAGCAGCAACAGCAGCAGCAACAGCAGCAACAGCAGCAACAGCAGCAGCAGCAGCAGCAGCAGCAGCAGCAGCAGCAAGGATCCCTTGTGAATCAAGTCACGAAAAGTTCAAGAATCGGCAACAGGCCATGGGCCTATTTCTTCAACGCCGACACTTTTATTCTATTCTATCAATTTTAATTTTTTATACCGCTTATAATGAATCTCGAATTTTGCAGATCCAATCGCCCTATCGACACCACGGTTGATTGGCAAGCCTACCCGACCGTGTTCGTCAAGTATGATTCTCAGAAGTACTACCCGGGGTACTACGCGGAGTGTTGAGGTGCCTAACCCCACACGGGCCACACCCAAGCACGACATGGAGTGACCCACTCGAAGAAACAAGCTATCACGTGTTCTGCATGTTCAATTTATTACTCATAATTTCAAATATGAATAGTTAGCAGTTTTTCAATCATAGATTTCCTAGTTCCTTTTTGTCTGTTTATTAACTAAGTGCATGCAAAACAATTTGTACGCGTTATTTTGTGTCATGAAGGTTCAAGTCATAGCTATAGTGGCGAATAAGATGTATAAAAAACGTTGTTAAATCATGTAAATTCATGTAGTTTATTGTCGTAGGTAATGGTTAGTTTAATGTGAATTATTGGCGGCTTAGAAATTACCTCCACCTCATGGTGTATTGTTGTAGTTTCTAGAGGAATTGTTGTAGTTTCTAGAGGAATTGTTGTAGTTTCTAGAGGAATTGTTGTAGTTTCAAGAGGAATTGTTGTAGTTTCTAAGAGGAATTGTTGGAGCTTCTAAGAGGAATTGTTGGAGCTTCTAAGAGG